GATCTACTGTACCATTCAGCACAGTAAGATTTACAATGTTATACCGAGTACCTGGATGTTTCTCGTTGTTTTGACTCCATGATTTGCTCTTTCTCAGTTCATGCCAGGCCCCACAACTGCTGGAATCATCGATGGTCGCATTGCGGGAGGTACCACTGGGCATCAAAACTCCGAGAACATCCGAGAACATGCAGAGGGTCTTGTTGGTTTGTGGAACGACCATATCGAAATGATCGCTCCCACATCCGGCCCTTCACAAACGCGAGGCCGCAAGGCGCTAAGAAAAAGAAAGCAAAGACACAGAACTATCAGAACTTCACAGAACTCAGAAGTTTGTTCCGAAACTCTTGATCGGACTGATAATGCTCCTCTTTGAGCTGTCCAGGTATGACTAGGCCTTCTGGGTGGAAGAAATATGATGAAATGATCAAGGACTAGAACATACTCAAACTGTCTTCAATGGTCTAGATACATTGAGGCTGACAACTTCAAGGCAGATGCAGCTCTTGTTTCCACAAATCGAAAGCCCAACGCGAAGGACTTGGAGCATTTGAACGGACAATTCCAAGGCCTTCAGCAAGAGGCGGAGGTGGCAATTGGTGACATTTGTGGGATGTGACATGATTTGACTAACAAGGCCCTTGGTGGATTGGTAGCGCTATCAGGTCATAATAGGTCATACTATTTCATCATGATTTGATATACTGAAATGGTGGTGCGTTCGGCTTTGCAATCACTTGCAATGCTTAGAAACCAAAGGCCATCACCCACGTGTGGATCGACCGGAGAATTGGTTGTCTCGTTAACATAGAAAACTATAGAAAAACATGACATAAATGAAACTAGCACTGTGCAGTTCTTCAGGTTGGGAATGTTGGCTTGGAATGGTTGAGCAGAGTGCTGACTGATGCATTGATTTGACCCCAAGTTTTCTTGACTGCTGGAGGCCGCACTGCATTCCATGGCTTTGCAGCTGGGCTCCGTGGTCACTTGGGTGCAAGAGGCCAGGGATGCTCTCGCGTGAGGGCTTCGGAGTCGGTGGCGGTGGAGGACTGGGTTCGATGACAAGCCTGGCTTGCAAATTCTGGACCGTTGGACAAATTCGGCTGAGGAACCAGCGTTTCGGGTGCATCCCGAAACCTGCAAAGATACAATTGTACGCGATTTCTAAGCTGCTAAATTGACATTTGCCTCTGGAGAGACCCATCGTTAGATCATGTTAGATCCCTGGATCAGGATACTTTGGGAATAATGTCTACTGTAGGAGTCAAGACATGTCCAGCTCCCATGAATGCTTGGAATCTTGATTTCTTGAATGTCTCTCCACACGATTCGCCGGCCAGAAGTTGGAAGTACCGTCGGGCACCTGGTTTTCATCACAGAGATGATATCGCACTGCAGAGCCAAGGTGGTAGTGCAAACTTAAGGAGCGGGGGGTCCAAACGAAATTCTTCTTGTTTCTGGCAGTACCTGGTAGTAGTGAATAGAATGCCCAATGTGGAGATACACAATCATCCTGGTAATAAGGGTTATTTTTCAGTCAACAGCAAGGGTTAGTGAGTTCAAACCATTTAGTCGGTCGTGGTGGTAAAGATTCCTGTTCTTTTTACCAGTTTTTGTTTCAATCCTTTTTGACATCGTTTTTGTATTTTTTGTCGGTATCTCAAACTTCACTGAACCAAGCCCAGTCCATTGAGTGTGTTACTAGTAGCTTCTTGCTCCTAGTAGCGATGCCAGGAGCTAGTAGCTTCTCGTTCCTAGGGAAAATGTTTGTAATAGCTTCTTGTTACTACTAGTAAGGCACTTGTTTCTAATAGCTTCTTGTTACTAGCAAGTGAAGAGTTGTTGGATGGCTTTGAGATGTTTTTACATTCCCGGAGTTTTCTCCTGCCTGTTCTAGGTCTCTGAATTCGCTCTATGCAATTGAGTTCTTTCATTTGCTTCAGAGGGACTAACAACTTCTTTGATTTTCTTTGCTCCTAGTAGCAAGGACGCTACTAGGAGCTATTTGCTACTAGTAGTAATGCCAGGAACCCCTAGTAGTGTCCTTGCTCCTAGTAGCGATGCCCTTTGCTCCTAGTAGCGGCGCTACTAATTGTATCTAATTGTCATATCATTCACATCAGTGTTTTGAATCGCTCAGGCAACATTTCATGAAGGAGAATTTGGGGGCGTGGCATGCTGTGAAAGGATGCTGCACTGTACCAAAAAGGCTTGGCAAGCACTGCTTTGAACAATCTATATAAATTAAATGCCCCAAGAGCAACGTAGAGGTTGAACAACCAGGCCATCAAGGATCTGAGTTGCCGGTAGTGCTGGTGGTGCTGCTGCTGCTGTAGTGGTGGCAGTTGCGATGTTTGTCAACTTAATGAGTCCTCTGAGTGTTGATACGTGTGTCCCAAAAAGACGTGTATCAACCTGTTGATCCATCTACCTATGCCTATAAACCCAAGTTGAGCTAAGCTCACGTAGAAGTTAGATGAAGTTATTACATAGGCAGGCGTTTCATGCCATGGCCACTACGTGCTCTATGCCAGCCTGCTGTGCTTAGCTGCAGGACGGGATTTGCCTGTCACCGATTTTGGAGGTTCGATGGGCTTCAGTTTTGATGCACGATACAGTAGAAGGAAAACCATTGATGGATCTATTTTTGAGACAGTTACGGTATGTACATATATACACATAATTCAATGATTCGAGAGCAAAACATTCTAGCCCCTTGAACACCTTTCTCACAATCATCGACTTTGTGCCACTCGTGGTGAACTGTAGCCGTAGCCCTTACTATCCCTTACTACTTCTCTGGGCGTTCGCCGTTCGCGCAACCATATTGGCCCCAAATTAAGCCAGCGTGAAAGTGGACAAAAAGCTCCGGCTCACACTGCGGTAGCAAAAGCATGCAAAGCCTTGGTGGAAAAGGCTGACCCCTGCCGTCAGGGATTCACTTTGTCTCATTTGGTCAACCCGGAGAAAGAATGACTCAGCGATTTTGGCATTCCCGGAGTTGAGATGCATGCTTGCCTCAATTGTGATGGTAGTTGAAACCGTGTTTGTACCAGGTTTGCTCCCAAAGGGAAAACATATCTATATATATATATAGTTGGGAATGTCGGCAATTCGCCGAGTGCATTTCCGCACCCCCCTCGGCATGACCTGGGTTCTTGGATGCATTTGGAGAGACGCGTCGATACATGTTGTTCTAAGCTTGAATTGGGCTACTACCAGTTGCCAAGGTGCACTTTTTATGCTGTTTGATGCGCATGCATTGCCATGCATACATGTTGAAAAGCAGAGATTTTGACATTTCGACCCAGAGCGTTGTCATGCATTGATTGACATGCCTTCGCTGTTGCCTGCCACACTGCCGCTAGAACTGCCATGCTGCTTGTATGTTGGTTTTGAACACGCACCAGAGTAGCACCCGGTGGGATTCTCATGGCCAACAAGCAAGGCGCGGCTGCCTTCAAGAGCCTTTACTACCGTCAGTTGCCTAGATGAGACTGCTTTCACGACATGTTAGCTTGAAGATGCCCGTCAGCTCTGACAAAAGAGTGTATCTCAGCTCTGAAAAAGACCAGAGCCTTCGAAGTCGAGCATTGAGTCCAGAGGTAATTTTTCCACTTGCTTGGGCCTGCCGCATTGATTGATTTAGATTTGTCCAGGGGCACTCGAAGATCCAGAACATTGACGATCAAAAGTTCAAGGCATCAAGCTTTTTGGGCAGAAGAGAGGACGCCTCAGCACTTCACCAAATTAGATTCCAGGTTTCAATTGTGTTTCTAGGCTGACAACAACTTTGCCTCTTAGACAGCATTCATTCATCATTTTTGCAAAGCCCGCGCTGAATTTGCAACCAGAATTAGCCTGCAGACCTTACTCTTGCCCAAATTCTAAGATGTTTGGCATGCGGTACTTCCATGTTTTCCACATTGGGATTCTACTTCTTCCTTGGGTGCTCACAGGGAAGTGGACATTCTGTTTAGGAGTTTTATCTTATTTTCATCACCAGTGGAACATTAACCTGAACCTAATTTTGAAGGTGAAGCACCGTACAACCTTTGTAAACAAACTGCAGAAAGAGAACATATCATATGCAGAATATGTTTCCCTTTGCATTGCTTGCGTTCTGTTTTTCGATCTCCATGTTGTACAGTTACAGTTGCTCCTTTTTTCTTAATGCACTTTGTGCAGCTGTCAAGTTCGGGCTTGGAGACTAACCTTTTCATTTTTTTTTCCGGTGGGACTCTTTTGTTTGCAGCAGTTTGTGAATGCTGCACAATATGACATTGCTATACTGTGTTGATCTCTAGATAGAACAGAGAAGAAAGAAAATGTGTGAGTTTGATGCTGGAAGGGATGTATCTTGAACTCATCCCGGAGATTGAAAACACTTTGCTGACGCTTTCCTTTTTTCAAGAGACCCCCAACCTTGCGAGGATTTGCAGGAGCCATGTCTGGTGCATTGCGGCACCACTTGGAGCCAAAGTGGGCCACGGGTTGATGCGAGTTAGCACCCTTTGTTGGAAGATTTGAGTCGAGCAGGATGTTGCAGCACTTGGCCAATGCCCCTGATTCTGTCTGCTAGGGTGATACGCTAGGACTTGTGGAGAGTAGAGTTATAAGGCATACAGATGAGACTAGGCACTAAGCACTTAAGATATAATATAAGCCGCGAGACTTTCAACCTGTGCTGTGCTGCACAGCATTGGCGAGAGACGTCTGGCTCCCTCAGCAACGCCGTCTTGGCCAGGAAGTAGACGGGTAGCTGATGCTCTTGCAAACTGGGACAGTGGTCCCAAGCTGAGCAAGGCCCAGGTTGTGAGTGAAAAAACATGAAAACACCTACACTATATGGTAACGATCACATCCAGTGTACTTGATTACTTGACAGTCGAGTTGAAGTGCAACTGGTTCAAATACATGTAGATCGAAGCTTGTCAATACTTGGAAGGTCCAGTCTATTCAGCCTGACCTAGGATGAGCTCAGATGCCAAGGTCAAATGCCCATCTATTCCTTGGATTTGGACCGTGCTCCTGCCACCATCAGCTCACGCCATATCAAGGCCACGAGAAACAGAGCCTAGGTCATCGGGTCATTGCTCGAGGTGATCCGCATGAGCACGAAGCTCCAGCGCAGATGGTTTGATGAATTGCATTCACCCCAGTGGAGATTCATTTGGATCCATTCCCTCATTCCTTAGACTCACTCCTGATATTGATTCAGATACGTTCCATAGACTGTCTAGGCCTTTGGGATGTGTTCTCGGCACAGGGGATCCCAACCTTGCTGTTGATGCGGGAGAACCGAGTGGAAGCACGAGCCGATGGTGCGGACTTAGAGGCGGAGTAGCGGAGCATGTTTTTGATTTTGGACGGACTGAAAGAACTTGCGGACCAAGAACAATCAACAAGAGCGCCAAATGACGTTTTTTGGTATGGTTTTGCTTGTTGTAGCAAGTTCACAGTAATCCACAGTCCGTGGTCTCCCACCACTGCTGCATTTAGGGACAAACCAATCACCCAAAGTTCACTTCCAACTTCCACAAGGCCTTTGCCCTTTGGATCCCTTTGGATCTCTTTGGATCTCTTTGGGTCTGGAGAGAATCCTTCTTTTCCTTCAAACACCGTTCGACTCCACGAGTTCGCACGAGTTCCACAGGATCTGTTGCGCCTCATGGAGGCTGCGAAGCCCTATTTGAAAGGAGCACGTCAGGACGATGAGGACGGAGGTCTCGGTGGACCCTAGAGACATCCCGACACCAACACAGCAGTTTTGCAGCTTCAGAACTTGGACGAAGCTTGTCCGGCCATCCATCTTGGGCCAGTCTGTCTTGTTCATGGCGAAGAATTCTGACGGCATTATGTAATGTGGATTGGTTGTGTCAAGAACGGTACCCCAGACATTTTAGAGCAGGGTGAATCGTGAATCAATAAATCCGAGTATTACATCCAAGTGGACAAAACATTGACCTTGCAGATGAGTTGTTGTTCTCTCACCTGCCTGCGTGCTGGTCAGCTAGGCTAGGCGGCCAGACTATGACTCAGACCTGAAAGCCCTCAAAAGGCAAATGGGTTTGTTGCCACTAGGTCACTCTACCTTCATCAAATCTCAGAAATCCGGTCCTGTATTGCGGTGCACGTCCTTGGCAGGATGCTTCCAAAGTGTCCCCGATGAATGCCTTGAAGTCTGCCGAGCAGATGCTGACAGAATCCAGCTGTTTGTCACATGTTGGGGGAAGGATGGAGGTGAAAAAGCGCCAGCAGTGGTTGCAAGAACTCAAGAACTCAAGGATGCGCTTTTCAATTCCAATCAGTTTTACTATTTTTCATAGTTTTTCCATGAACCACTGCAAGACCCGGTACACCCATTCTCCGAATGTCGCGTGAGTCATTCTGCTTGCTTGAGCATGTATGCTAGATTGCAGGATGAAATACAGCTTTCTTGCAGCAGCAATAGCCCAATGACACCCACACGGACTCAAGCTTTGAACCAAGATTTCAGCGCCGCACAGCAGCTCTTTAGCCGTGCTCTAGAAGGCAGGACGTGGGCCGTGTGCTTTTTTCCCCCGTGTACTGTTTACTGTTTTGAAGCAAAGGAAGTGTTTTTTTGGTTGATTCTAACGCAAAAAGGACATGTGACCTCAGCCCTCAGAAGAGACACAACAAGGATATCCGCATTGTGTGGAACCTTTCACTTCTTTGCACTCTCTGTACGATGAGTAATTAGCGTCCTGAATATTTCCCAGATGGAACAAGGGAACAAACTGTGATTTTGTGACTGCTTTGGAGGATGTGCATCGGTTTTGGCTTACAAGGCAATCCAGATGGTGCTTTTCGAGCGCGTTATGGGCTGGTGCGATGTGCCTACTGGCAGCTTGTGGCTGCAGTGAGAAAGCCGAACCAGGTGCAAAAGCAAAATTTGTTTTAGACTAGACTATACTAGACTGACCAATTGTTGTTTCTTGAAGTTGCTTTGGATATCGAATGACACAGAGAAATGATATATGTTCATATATTTTCTGTTTGTACTTGTTGCTTCTCAATTTGTTGACGTATATAATAAGCTTGGGAACGTGCGGCCATGAATGACCCACGGCACCCTTTGTGACGTAGGGCTGATACATTCGCTGGTTGCCCCTTAATGGCCGCACAGGGCCAAGAAGGAGGTGAGGGCGGGCAGCCGTTCGATAAGCTCGTCAAGGACATCCCACATGGCTTGTAACATGGAAACACATTGCAACTGATGACACACCTTCCAGTCGAGCAGACGTTGAGATGTGTTGATTCGTTGCGTTCAGTCTTAAAGTGTTGGAAACCACAAGAAGGAACAACCAGAATTCTCCTGTGAACAAGGAGCTCTCATCGGCTCTTTGCGAGCTCAGAGAACACCATGAGGAGGACAGGGAGTAGTTCTGGCCACCGAACGGCCATGTATTCTCCATGTCCATTTTCTTCACGGTGTCGGGCCAGAAGGACTTGATTCCCAAAAGAGACAGGCAGCCGTGAACCATGAACTTCCCCTCAAGTATATATATATAGATCGAGGGTCCTTTAGGTATCATTTCGTAAAAAGAAACAAACACAAATGATTTAATTTTCAATTCAAATATTTATTGCAAAAAGCATTTGTAAATTAAACAATTGATAGATTTTGATGTGTTATTTATTTTGTTTAAAGATTTATTTAATTTATTCAATTTTTCAAATTGTAACTTAAATATATTTAAAAATTAAAAGATTTCTTTTTGTTTGTGGATTTGGCTATTTAAAAAATTAAACAAATTAAATAAATTAAATACATTAAATAAATTAAATCGACGTGTATATATATTTTTATTTATTTAATTTCTTTTAATTTACAAAAGGCTTTTGTAAATTAAAAAAATAAATAGATTTTGATTTATTGTTTATTGTTTTTTTAGAATTTACAAAAGGCTTTTGTAAATTAAAAATTGAATAGATTTTGCTTTATTGTTTTAATTTTATTAATTTTTTGTTAATTTACAAAAGGCATTTGTAAATTAAAAAAATAAATCGATTTTTATTTATTTTTTTGATTTTATTTATGTTTTCTAATTTATTTAATTTTTTAAATAGCCGGATGCCACTGAGTCACTCTATTAAATAGATTTTTTTTTAATTTTTAATTTACAAAAGGCTTTGGTAAATTAAGAATGTAAAGTAAAAAAATACCTAGATTTTTATCTATTATTATTATTTATTTAATTTAATTTTTTAAATTGTAAATTAAATATATTTAGAAATTAATAGATTTCTTTTTGTTTGTGGATTTGGCTATTTAATTTTTTTATAAAAATTAAATAAATTAAATAAACTAAATCGACGTGTATTTATTTTTTTAATTTAGTTAAGTTTTTTTAATTTAAAAAAGGCTTTTGTAAATTAAACAAATAAATAGATTTTGCTTTATTTTTTAATTCTATTTATTATTGTTTAATTTACAAAAGGCTTTTGTAAATTAAAAATTGGATAGATTTTGATTTATTTTTTTAATTTTATTTTTTTTCTTTAATTTACAAAAGGCATTTGTAAATTAAAAAATAAATCGATTTTGATTTATTTTTTAAATTTTATCTATTTTTTTGTTTTTATTTAACTTTTTAAATAGCCGGATGCCACTGAGTCACTCTATTAACTATAATTGTTTTTGATTTACAAAAGGTTTTTATAAATTAGATTATTAATAGATTTTGATGTATTTTTTGTATTTTTGTACGTTTTCAATTTACAAAAGGCATTTGTAAATAAAAAATAGATCGATTTTGATTTGTTTTTTTTGATTTTATCTATGTTTTTTTAAATTATTAATTTTTTAAATAGCCGGATGCCACTGAGTCACTCTATTTAATGGAATTGTATTGTTTTTGTTTATTTACAAAAGGCATTTGTAAATTTAAAGAAATGAATTGATTTTGATTTATTTTTTACAAATTATCTATTTTTACTTTACAAAAGGCTTTTGCACAGAAAAAATACTTTTTTTTCAAACTTTTTAAATAGCCGCAGGCCACTGAGTCACTCTATTAAATAGAATTGTAATAAAATTCTATTAAGAAATAAAAATACCAAAGGCATTTGTAAATTCGATCAATTTATATAAGTAAAAAAAATAGATAGTTTTTATTTATTTATTTTTTTAATAGTAGCCGGAGGCCACTGAGTCACTCTATTAAATAGAATTGAATTTAGTTTTTTTACTTTGCAAAAAGCATTTGTAAATTAAATAGTGTAAACAAAAATCAGTTTATCAAATGGAATTGTATTATTGTTTTGTATTTTTTAAAATATTTTTATGAAAAAAGGTTTTATGTCCAATATAGCTCTATTACTGTATAAGTGCAGAAATCAGTAGTTTCCACAAGACCCTCGATCAAATAGATGTTGCCTGACGCAGTTGTGGGGGAGTTCGGGCCAAACACAACAGTTAAACATGCGATTTGAATGCGTTTCTATGGATCACATGAATGATTGGAAGGATCGGGGCCTCTACTGGTGTTGAAACACGGAAGAAGATGTGATCCTGTAATCCTATTGAGCGAGTCCGATATTCTCTCCATTTTCAGATATCTAAGTAGGGGAAGACCAAGGGGGGATGTTCACCTGACCACCCTTCCCCCATCTCCCCCCACACCATCTTTTCCATCATCCCCACTCCCCACCCATCCTATGCTTCCTACTCTCAATATGTCTTCTCCACTTACATTTTCTCACCTTGCACGCACATACCTCACACCACATCTCAATCAAACTATATTCCCGATCATATTAGTTTTTCTTCTCCCTATTCTCCTCCCTCCAAACTCTATCAATCTCCTTCTTCTTCTCAACATTCCTCCCCACCCACCTTTTCCATCTGTCTAAGCACACATTACAAGTCGCATTCTTTTCATTAAACATTCCCAATTCCTTATTACATCCACACTGTCCACACCTTCTCTTCTCCACTTCCTCACCTCCACCCTGAGCATTCTCAATATGCGTATTTGTTTTCTTATGCTTCCCCCATCCACTTTTCCTCACATTGCACTCACACACCTGACAATACACATTCTCAAACTTATCATCTTTCATCTCCTTAGTACCTATTGCTACTATCCCTTTAAGTTTTGGTCAGGTGAACATCCCCCATTGGTCTCTCATAGAAAAAATTAGAATAGTAAATATCTAGTTTATAGCATTATATACATATTTATCTGATCAACTCTTCTGGGATTATGTATAATTCCTTCTGATTAAACAATGTATAGTTTTCAAGTTTTCAGGCCATGTTTCCTTCCTATTGCTAGGTGCCCTTTGTGCTGTTTCCCTATGCCTATTCCCTTCCATTTGTACGCAGTTCTTTTTACATAATGGTTTAGGTGTCCAAGGGTTATTATTTGTCCAAAGTCTGGTGCGTTTTCTGTATGCCATTCCATCTTTACAATAATCAACATCAAAAAACGAAGTTTTTCATAAACTCTTGCTCCTTCAAAAGTCCGGTCTGGGGGGTTTTCAACGAAAACATTTGGATCAAAATAGTTTATTATGTCAATAGCTTTCTTCACTGTTTCATTTGCTTCATCAATTTTTCTAGTGTCTGTTTGTTTTGCTATGATGTATTCAGTGCAAGGCGGGGATGACCAAGTAACATCAAAGTCGTTGTCAAATTTATTATAATCAAATTTCAAAATATCCTCATTGATACTAGCATTTTTAAGATCAAGTGATATAATAGTATTACCAAGTTCTTTAACAATTCTTCCAACACTACCTGTGCCTGAAAATATAGGGGTTCACGAAATGATGGCACAAGTAAAATGGTTGAAATATGCCATCAAAGATTAAAGATTTCAGCGCAAAATTGAGCTTTGACAATAGGAACACTCAAATGACATACCAATACACTGAAGCAATGGCAGGGCCGCTGTGAGAGCGGGGTTCTTTGAGAGTGCTGGGGTTGCATTCACAAAAGAAAAGTAAAAGAGAGGGAGGAAGGCAAGCAGGGAGAGAGGGAGGGAGGGGGAGGAAGGGAATGAGGAAATGACATGCACTAACACAGGAACAGCATACTGAGAGGAGAGGACCATTATATACAACAATGGTAGGTCCGCTGCGAGAGCAGGGCACAAAGCAAAAGGGAAAGAAGAGGCAGGGAGTGAGGAAGGGAGGAGAATGAAATGAATTGAACATAGGAACGCTAAGATGGCACACCACACACAAAGAGAGAGAGAGAGAGGGAGTTACAGAGAGTGAGAGAGTGAGAGTGAGCTAGTCTCATACTAGAATCCAGCAAATGGAATGAAGTCCAAGAGAAGGAACAAAGGAAAGAAACTATACAGACAGGAAAGGACACCCCCAAAAAAACACACATATAATATATATATATACACGTATATAAGATGAGATAAGGCGCCTGCTGCACAGGCTACCTTATTTGATCTTGGTTAAGCCTTTGTTCAGGGAGCCGCGGTGGGAGAGAGAAAGAGAGAGAGAGGAACTAACATAACTAAGGACGTCCTGGAACCCCTGGCAAGTAATTGAGGTATGTCCAAACAGGCTAAAGGGCATGAAAAGAATACTAAATAGAACGGCAAGGATAAAGGCAGTTGAAAGGATGCGAGGAAAGAGTGGTATGCATTGAACATAGGAACGTTAAGATGGCACGTGAGGAAATGATATGCACTAACGCAGGAACAGCATACCGAATGGAGAGGACCATTATATACAACAATGGTAGGTCCGCTGCGAGAGCAGGGCACAAAGCAAAAGGGAAAGAAGAGGCAGGGAGTGAGGAAGGGGAGAAGAATGAAATGAATTGAACATAGGAACGCTAAGATGGCACACTACACACAAAGAGAGAGAGAGAGAGGGAGTTACAGAGAGTGAGAGAGTGAGAGTGAGAGCGAGCTAGTCTCATACTAGAATCCAGCAAATGGAATGAAGTCCAAGAGAAGGAGCAAAGGAAAGAAACTATACAGACAGGAAACCTACAGTGCATGACACTCTTTGGGCTGCTGGATGGAAAAGGTTTTTTGCGGAAACTGAGTTTCTGGTGTGGGAGAACTGGAAAGCGTCGACAGAGAGAGAGAGAGAGAGAGGGAGAGAGAGACCAGCAAACAGAGTACAACACCCTTAAGGCCTGCAACAAACAATAAGATGGCATACCAGCCAAACGGCTCTAGTAGATTACAATGCCGATCCCCCCAAGCATCAACTGACCACTATGATGGCACACATGGCCCTTTCAGATCCTCGATGTGTTTCATCAAAAAGTGCATATATGCCATGTATTGTCTCGATTCCTGTGTGCCATCAACGTGTGAACCTGTATAATTATTATAATTTCATAATAACATGTTGTCATAGAAAATATATTATCATGAGTATGTTTCAGTGTCTTCATCATAATCAATTTTGTAATATTGTATGGTGGTCTCTTTAGGTTGTTTTATTATTTTTGAATTCAACATTTCTAAATACTGCTTCCTTTTAGTTTCAAAGTCCCCTACTGGTCTACCTATGCTTTTCTTTTCAGATGCTTCTCCATTTTCCTTAAATCATTTTTCTCATTAGTCTTTTCATCAATGGTTTTTAACAACTGTAAGATCAATTTAAGACTATTATTATATCTGGTCATTTTCTTTATCAGATCATAAATTTTATCAGTATTATCTAAAGTAATAGATCCACCATCATCGTTTGAAACTTTCATAGTCTTATCTTATCACTCTTGCTGATTTTAAAGCTATATGGATTACACTTACACTTTTTGCCTTTAGTGTTGATTTCAATTTCATTCTCAGTTGTAGTTTTCCCTGGCATGAAGGACAGTCAATGGTAATGAATTTGCTTGTTAGTTTTTGTTCTTCATCTAGTTTTATTGTTGTTGGTTCTTCATCTGATAGTTCAAACTCTTCGGGGATTTGTGTTTTATTCATCTGTGTTTTTTTTTGTCTTTTTTGGTGGCATGTATATTACATTTTAGATAAGTAATTATCAATTTTGACATGTCCAGTGAGTATTTACAACACTGCTTAAGTTTATTATCTTTAACAACTGGATATTTAGCACTATCATTTTTTTCCATATCATCTCTTCCTGTTATATAAGCATCATGTTCAGATAGCGTCATAATATATAACTATAATTAGATAATGCTTTAACACCATCTAATTATGTAGTGCTTGGGAGAACACTAAAAACGAATTCAACTGTAAGGGCAAAAAAATCCATTGCTGAAAAGCAAACTAATTACCGACTTATGCGGATTAGCGTAGCCTCACCTACCGCACTCTGTCCATAGGAGATCTGCTAATATTTAATAATGTTTTCTATGTAATTTTATTAATAGATGAATAATAACACCGCACCACATATTCAACCTATCAAAGAAATCAATTATGAATTCACTCAATCAAAATATGCTGTTGCCTCTAAAGTGCCCTTTAGATCAATCATAACCGGTCCGTCTGGTAGTAGCAAATCAGTGCTACTAACAAACATGAATATGGACACCTACAAGGAAGTTTTTCCAGGGTGTATATCTGGTCACCTTCAATAAATGTTGATAGCATCTGGTTGCCAGTCAAGAAATACATAAAGGAAGAAATGAAAGTGAACACTGGTAAAGAGCAGGTTTTGTTTGAAGACTTTCACAGTGAAGATTTAATGAAAGTCATTGAAACACAACATAGAATAACTGAATACAGTAAACACACATTTAAAAAAAAACAATCCTAATAGTCTTGGATGATATAGCAGATGATCCCAAAATATCAAGATATTCAAACATATTTGATTCCCTTTATGTAAGAGGTAGACACAATGGTATTAGTGTTATAACATCTGGTCACAAATTTAATGCACTGACCACACTGATAAGAGTTAATGCCACACACCTATTCTTCTACAAGGTCAGCAACTTTAAAGAAATAGAACTGTTTCAAAAAGAACTATCAGCAATACCTAGAAGAAAAGAAACAATATCCAAGAAAGTAAGCAGGTCTTATATAAACTTTATGAAATAGCCACTGAACAGCCACATATGTTTTTAGATATTAATCTTCTGGAAAAGGATAGGAACAAGATGTTTATGATCAATTTTTCACACTATTTGCAAATTGATGATTGATAATGTTAACTATGTTAATATGATCAATCTTTATACCAATGAAGGAGCACAAATATTATAGCAGGTAGTTTATACATAATCCTATTCGATTTCAGGATGTGAGCAGCTGGGAAGGTTCGTCAAGGGTACACATTCTATCACGAGCGAAATGAACCCCAAAGGTCCCTACCACATTCATATGTATGTATATATATATATATCGACTATTTGGTTCATTCTGGGGCAAGCTATTTGGGTTGACCGGTCGCTGATCGAGCATCAAGAGCAACTGGGACAAGATTTCCCAAGGAGCTCTTTGGTTGTGGGCAACAGGTTCGCATTGATAGCCTGAAGCAAACATTGCTACTGGCGGATGCAGAGTGCCTGGGATAAGAGGATTGGGCGGAGGTCACACACACACAAGAATCGGCTGTTTGTTTTCATGGTCATGGGTCTTGTTCCTTTGATTCAATCACTTGCTTATCCTCACACCCTTCTAATAGCATTTCAATCACGCACGCAGGTTGATTTGCTTAGTGCATGCAAAAGCGCTTGACTGTATTGACTATTATATTAGCATTATAGGCGATTTCACGCAATTTCATCTGAGCAAAACGCTCTTATCTTTCATTCCTTCAAAGCTCCCGTGCAAAATTCCAACAAGCTTTGCACAATGTGTTGCATTGATTGGATCAACTGTTTCTCACATGGCACCAAGGTTGCTTGTAGATGCTTGGACTCCGGACAAGAACCGCGGGAAGGAGGAGTGAATTGATCGAGTTGTAGGCGATGCCACTTCGATGGGTGTGAGGGGTTGCGTAGCTAAACTCCTTAGAACGCAAGCCAAGAGAACCCCTCATAAACCCTTATAGTATAAAGTAATATAGTTGGCTGGTAGCATCCTGGCGTTTATTTGGTAGTCCCCATCCCGTCCTTCCTTGGACGCCCGACGCCCAACTGCACTTGATTTTGCCGTGACGGCGCCTCAGCGGTTGGACGCACTTGGTGGTCCTGGGGGCGCTTCTGCTGCTGAAGCTTACACAGCCTACAAGCGTCGGCACTCGGACACCGCAGCGACATGTACAGCCCAACATGTGGCGTCTTCCTGCCCATGGTGATTGAGACCACGGGTGCGTGGGCGGCAGAGGCAGCCAAAGCCCTGGCTGAGGCGGCGCTGGTGGCCCCAGCTTGCTACAGGAAGCATGCGTGTTGGTGCGCAGTTGGCGCGGCCGAGCTGCATTGCGGCGGCGTGCTGAGTTGGTGCCCTGAGCTCTTTGTGTTGCAGATGGCTTGTTGGACATCGTCTTCTGAGTGCAGGGTTGACGCGCTTGGTGTCACTCATGTTTTTCTCATTTGTTCCCTTATGGTCTGCTGACGGCGTTCCGCAGGAACACCCGTGCGACCGAGTGCTGCTCCCTGATGGGCACCTCACTTTTCTCTTTTCAGCTAGGAGCCTTTTTCAGTCCTGTCCTGACCCTTTTTTGTGTCTTTGGGCTGGCCCAGTGCTTCTGGCTCCTCTTGTTTTTCCATTGCTGTTACCTCCATTTTTCCGGAGGAATCCCCTCCCCACAATGCCCTTGGCATCCTTTTTGGGTACGCAATGGCTTTCTGCAGGTGGCTTAGTTCACAGCCTGGCTAGTTTCACCTTCATGGACCTCTCTTGGTTTGCTGTCAACCCCATCCCTATGAATGCTAGTAATAGAGGAACGAGGCAGGCTCAGTGGTTATCAGAATGACGTAGTATTGCCATAATGCTGCTCCACATGCACCATCTCTACGTTGTTGCTATCATATAGGTGAGGCATCATCATAAGAAACAACACAGGGTATAGAAAGGACAAACACGTTATTTGCATGTATTTGTCAAATGCGGGAGGCCAGCGAATTCCGACGTACGTGCCCGCGTGACCGTCCTTCAGTTGGAAAGCATCTCCAACAAATTTCTCCTCGCCTCAAAGCACCCAAACCATCAACATGTCAGTTGGGTCCTTCCGCATGCCGTGCACTCAAGGGCCAGGTGAGCCAGATCCTGCTTGGACGCTCGATCTGATTGCTGTAGCAGGTTGAGGCATTCAAGCGCCAGGGGCATTTATTTTGCGACAGGAGGAAAAGATCTTGCACCTTTGGGCAACAGGTGAGAAGAAGGATGCCATCGAGCAGGCTTTGGTGATATGAACATGGGACGAGACTTATGTTCAGAAGAGTGGATGTTGCAAGCTCGATCCACCTACAAGATCCTACAAGTAAGTATTAATGTACACGGAATCTCCAAGGTCGTCAGGGAATCTTGCTGTGCTTGTGCAGGTACGTGTTCATACAATACCTGCTAAGTAGGCCTTGCTGTTATTTTTGCACATAATTATACCTCTGCAGGCTCTTGGCTGGTATCAGTCACTCGGCAGATCTCGGCAGATTTGGTTGGCTTGGGTTGGAGAAGTGCTTGAGAGATTCTTCTCACAGCAATTCTCTGCTTTTCGTACCTGCAAAACTATCTGCATGGTGAAGAAACAACCCCCCGAAACATTGGATCCTCTGGAGTCGCCTGGCAAAGAAACCCCTAAGAAGTCTAAGCCATCAGTATTGAGCCCTTTGGGAATTCCAGCACCTTGGAGCATAACACATACGTATTGCAAAAGTACGCAAAAGTAACATTGGACCAATGTTTGCTCATTGCAATGTGCTCCTGTTTTTGCGTGTGGGAGGTAGCTTTGGGAGTGATTAGCAGTCTCGGAAGCTTCAAACCTTCAGCGTGAAGGTCTGTGGCTAGCAAAGATCTCCCTGGCCTAATCAACGCCTATTGCCTGCCTGAGCGCAGAATCTTGGATCGTCCTGGTGGCATTCCCACAAGGATCAGACAGCAGGGCACGAGCCACGAGTATTCTTCGAGCTGATCAAAGTTATTTTTGCTCATTTGTCAAATTGTGTCAAAGTGGTGCAACTTGTTGACCAGATTCTTCAAATTATCTAGCAATTCAAGGGCACTTGCCAAACGCCAGAAAGAGATGCTGCACGAAAGATTTGAATCGTTTCGTCAGCTTGTAAGGGTTCCAAGGTTCTCGAGCCTGGAGCTTTTGCCAAATGTTTCCCTCAACCATTTGTGTTACTGTAGTTTCCGTTTCCAATTTGTGAGGCATATTATTTATAATTTATACATATTTATATATACGCACTACGTTTGGTGCTGCGGATCTTCTGGAAACATCCATTCGACATGGATGTTTTGCCACGCAAAGCCTTGTGGCCACCCATTTTTGTAAAAAAGCAACCTTGTCACCCGACAGCCTGACAGATGTGTCCGGAGGAGCATGAACTCATCACAGCAAATCGCAGGAGCATCTATGCCCAAGTTCCTCACCTTGCCATCGGCCCTGAGGTCGGGAGAAAGCATGCAGCTTTGTGTGTAGGTAGAGGGGTATGAAAGCTATGAATCATGATGAAGCAACCTTCAGAGCACTTCATGGGTGTTGAAGTGCAGCCAGCTTTTCTGATCCTCCACTTTAAAGCCGACGAAGTACGGAGTGTGTCTGGTCTGGAGCAAAAAATAACACCCACGTTGGATTTAAGAACTCAAGCTTCGCATTCAACTTCCGTGTTGCACTTCTGCATGTGATTGGAGTCAAGACTGCATAGTGATTGAGCTCTAGTTACTCTAGTTCTTCTTTCCTGATATTACTTTGAGACCTCATACTCAGATGTTCTCTAAGCATTGCCCCAAGCTAACACAGCTGAAGTCTTATATAAGTTCAGATTTGTTCCTGGGATGGTTTTAGTTGGGGACACACTTCTTGAAGTCTTTTTGAGTCCTATCTGATCTGCAAGGCATGGTTTCAATATTGAGCCGTTTCGTGTTCTACCTTCCCACTACGCATGCCTAGCAACAAGATCACATTTCTTTGGCAAGCCTAGCAACGTGCTATGCTTGGCCGAATCAACTCTATGTCAAGAAGGTCTTTGGTTCTTTGTGATGCTACTAGTAGCTTATTGTTACTAGTAGTAATGCCCTAGTAACGATGCACTTGCTACTAGTAGCTTCTTGTTACTAGTCCGTGTTACTTTTGCAGATGCACTTGCTACTAGTAGCTTTTTGTCACTAGTAGTAACGCCCTTGTTACTAGTAGCGATGCACTTGCTACTTGTAGCTTCTTGTTACTATATAGTAGTACAGCCCTTGTTACTAGTAGCGCTGCACTTGCTACTAGTAGCTCCTTGTTACTAGTAACACCCTTGTGACTAGTGGCGATGCACTTGCTACTAGTAGCTTCTTGTTACTAGTAGTAATGCCCTTGTTACTAGTTGCTTTGCACTTGCTACTAGTTGCTTCTTGTTACTAGTAGTAATGCCCTTGTTACTAGTGGCGATGCACTTGCTACTAGTAGTTTCTTGTTACTAGTAGTAGTGCCCTTGTTACTAGTAGCGCTGCACTTGCTGGGGGTAGCTTCTTGTTACTAGTAGTAATGCCCTTGTTACTAGTAGTGCTGCACTTGCTACTAGTAGCTTCTTGTTACTAGTAGTAACACCCTTGTTACTAGTAGCGATGCACTTGCTACTAGTAGCTTCTTGTTACTAGTAGTAATGCCCTCGTTACTAGTGGCGATGCACTTGCTACTAGTAGCTTCTTGTTACTAGTAGTAATGCCCTTGTTACTAGTTGCTTTGCACTTGCTACTAGTTGCTTCTTGTTACTAGTAGTAATGCCCTTGTTACTAGTGGCGATGCACTTGCTACTAGTAGTTTCTTGTTACTAGTAGTAGTGCCCTTGTTACTAGTAGCGCTGCACTTGCTGGGGGTAGCTTCTTGTTACTAGTAGTAATGCCCTTGTTACTAGTAGTGCTGCACTTGCTACTAGTAGCTTCTTGTTACTAGTAGTAACACCCTTGTTACTAGTAGCGATGCACTTGCTACTAGTAGCTTCTTGTTACTAGTAGTAATGCCCTCGTTACTAGTGGCGATGCACTTGCTACTAGTAGCTTCTTGTTACTAGTAGTAATGCCCTTGTTACTAGTTGCTTTGCACTTGCTACTAGTTGCTTCTTGTTACTAGTAGTAATGCCCTTGTTACTAGTGGCGATGCACTTGCTACTAGTAGTTTCTTGTTACTAGTAGTAGTGCCCTTGTTACTAGTAGCGCTGCACTTGCTGGGGGTAGCTTCTTGTTACTAGTAGTAATGCCCTTGTTACTAGTAGTGCTGCACTTGCTACTAGTAGCTTCTTGTTACTAGTAGTAACACCCTTGTTACTAGTAGCGATGCACTTGCTACTAGTAGCTTCTTGTTACTAGTAGTAATGCCCTCGTTACTAGTGGCGATGCACTTGCTACTAGTAGCTTCTTGTTACTAGTAGTAATGCCCTTGTTACTAGTTGCTTTGCACTTGCTACTAGTTGCTTCTTGTTACTAGTAGTAATGCCCTTGTTACTAGTGGCGATGCACTTGCTACTAGTAGTTTCTTGTTACTAGTAGTAGTGCCCTTGTTACTAGTAGCGCTGCACTTGCTGGGGGTAGCTTCTTGTTACTAGTAGTAATGCCCTTGTTACTAGTAGTGCTGCACTTGCTACTAGTAGCTTCTTGTTACTAGTAGTAACACCCTTGTTACTAGTAGCGATGCACTTGCTACTAGTAGCTTCTTGTTACTAGTAGTAATGCCCTCGTTACTAGTGGCGATGCACTTGCTACTAGTAGCTTCTTGTTACTAGTAGTAATGCCCTTGTTACTAGTTGCTTTGCACTTGCTACTAGTTGCTTCTTGTTACTAGTAGTAATGCCCTTGTTACTAGTGGCGATGCACTTGCTACTAGTAGTTTCTTGTTACTAGTAGTAGTGCCCTTGTTACTAGTAGCGCTGCACTTGCTGGGGGTAGCTTCTTGTTACTAGTAGTAATGCCCTTGTTACTAGTAGTGCTGCACTTGCTACTAGTAGCTTCTTGTTACTAGTAGTAACACCCTTGTTACTAGTAGCGATGCACTTGCTACTAGTAGCTTCTTGTTACTAGTAGTAATGCCCTCGTTACTAGTGGCGATGCACTTGCTACTAGTAGCTTCTTGTTACTAGTAGTAATGCCCTTGTTACTAGTAGCGCTGCACTTGCTATTAGTAGCTTCTTGTTTCTAGTAGTAATGCCCGAGTTACTAGTAGCGCTGCGCTTGCTACTAGTTGTTTTTTGTTATTAGTAGTAACACCCTTGTTACTAGTAGCGCTGCACTTGCTGCTAGTAGCTTCTTGTTACTAGTAGTGCTGCACGTGCTACTAGTAGTTTCTTGTTACTAGTAGTATTGCCCTTGTTACTAGTAGCGCTGCACTTGCTACTAGTAGCTTTTTCTTACTAGTATATAGTAATGCCTTTGGTACTAGTAGCGCTGCACTTGCTACTAGTTGCTTCTTGTTACTAGTAGTA